TGGAAGATGGCTATCGTCCACCCGATCCCTAAAAAAGACGACCGCTCAGACCCGTCCAACTACCGGCCTATCGCCATCACCTCCTTGTTCTCCAAAACAATGGAGTCTATTGTTAACTGCCAGCTCATGAGGCACCTTGAGAATCACCAGCTGATTCGTGACCGCCAGTACGGTTTTCGCCGTGGTCGATCAGCTGGTGATCTTCTGGTGTACCTAACTCATAGAGGAGCGGAGGCAGTAGAGTCCAAGGGGGAGGCATTGGCCGTTAGTTTTGACATTACGGAGGCCTTCAATCGGGTTCGGCACAAAGCGCTTCTTTCGAAGCTCTCTTCCTATGGGCTTCCCGAGAAGTTGTGCGATTGGATCACCAGCGTTCTTGCAGATCGGAGCATCATGGTCGTTGTAGACGGTGCAAGCTCCGATTACAAGCCTATTAATGCTGGTATTTCACAAGGCTGCGTGCTATCGCCAACGCTGTTTCTTCTGCATATCAATGATATATTGCAAACCCGTAACATTCATTGCTACGCAGATGACAGCACTGGTGATGCTCTGTACATCGGCCGTGCCAATATTTCTCGGGAAAACGTCTCCGAGTACCGGGACAAACTTGTGTCTGAAGTCGAGTCTTTGCTGAACAGAGTCTCGGATTGGGGGCGACTAAATCTAGTCCAGTTTAACCCCCAGAAGACACAAGTTTGCGCGTTAACCGCTAAAAAGAACCCCTTTGTCGTATCTCCCCAGTTTCAAGGCACTTCCCTTGTTGCCTCAGCTGGTATCGGTATTCTCGGCGTTGACATATCGAGTGACGTGCAGTTTTGAGGTCACTTGGAAGAGAAGGCCAAATTGGCCTCTAGAAAGCTTGGCGTGCTCAGCAGAGCGGGAGAGTATTTCATGCTGGCACACCGCCTGCAACTTTACAAGGCGCAGGTTCGGCCGCACATGGAATGAATACTGTTCCCATCTCTGAGCTCCCCAGCACCAGCTTCTTCCACTTGACCGCATCCATCGCTGAGCGGCTCGAATCGTCGACGACCGAGTGCTTTCCGATTGGCTCGATTCACTGGCACTGCGAAGAGATGTTGCATCTCTTTGCATTTTCTTTCGCATATACCACGGGAAGTGCTCTGAGGAATTGTTCGGAATAATCCCAGCCGCCAATTTTCGTGAACGCACTACGCGGCAAGCATCCCGATACCATCCACACCATCTGGATAAGTATCCAGATGGTGTGCATCCGCCAAGCGGCGGTCCACCACTGTACGTTTCACAAGGAGTTTTCTTCTGCGTACGACCTCTTTGTGGAATAGTATACCACCGAAGCTTACTCCTTTCTAAAGGGCCGGCAACGCACCTGCAATTCCCTTGGTGTTGCGGTTTATCATGGTGGCAATAGTCACTTAAAATCAGGTGAGCCGCATGCTCGTTTGCCCCCTCTTCTATAAAAAAATGATAAATTTACTGTTATTTGCACATACTAATTCAAATATGTTTATTACTTTAACGAACAGATTATTTTAGGTTAATCGAGTCGAAAATAGATAGATGCAGCGCTAACCGAATGCTCAAGCTGATCGTGCCTTTCGCTCGCTCGTGCAGCGCTCTCGCTCCGATCGTAATGTTACAATGAGCGTGACGTTACATTGAGTCATCCTTTTTCGCGTGCAGCCGGCGTTCATCGATTTATTAGACGTTGTCACGTCAAAAAATCTTTATTTAGTGTAGTAGTAGTTAGTTAGTACACCCATACCTACTTCTGTTACTGCATATAGTTATAATGCGCACATAGTTTCTTAGAGATTAGAGATAATGGACGCGGCGTCAGTTTTTTCTTAAATCATGACACAATGAAGGCTTTGTGTTCGTCGTTATGAGCGATGTCAAGGAATGAGGACACTTGCAAAGTATTTTACTTAACAACACAACTAAGAAAATTCGCAGCGTTTTCAACTACAAAGAACAAAGGAAATTCATCAGTTAAAACAACACCATCTTTTAAATTTGAATTGAAAATGATAAGATTTCAAATGACAAACCACATGCACATTGTTGATAAAATTCATATTTTTAGTTTATATTTATTAATAAATGATACAGATAAATATGTATGTTTTCATTAATTATGATAATGACAACACTATATGTAATTCTTTTGTCTTTGGATATTTTCTAGAATATTTTAAAGCATTCAAGAAAAAGATAATATTGTTGTATTAATATAATTAGGACCGCTAAACGGGCAAAGTTTGTGATAATTTTTCAGCAAGATTTCGTAACGTTTAAAATGTTTGAGATGCTTCTACACAGTTTCCTCAGTGACCGCCACATAACACACTTTGAATCAATGAAAAACTAAAAAAAAATATCACCTCCAGTTGAAGGCGGTAGTTGTGGATGCAGTTTTAATATAGGTATACCTGCATACCACTTTTCAATACGAAACTTGGCCATTAGACTTAATTACCGATTTTTTTTTTTGCATAAATTCAGTGATTGAAATAGTTCTGCTCAAAATTATGTGTTATGCTCAGTATTAAAATATTTCTAAAAAATATCAATTATTTGAAAAATTTTGTTCGATAATTTGTTGCCGTTTTGTAGGTAGGGACGTAATCCTGTTGCTGTAAAAATCTTGGAATTTTTGATAAAAAATGCAGATAAGTAGTTTTGACAGTCTTCACTTGAAGTTAATCTCACACTACTCAAAAAAATTCTGAAGCGACAGAAACAGGTAAAAATCTGAAGGTGCAAAGTCAGGACATGTAATGCATCCACCATGGATGCAACAATTCCCAACCAAGCTCTCTCAATTTTTGCTGAGTGGCCAAATATATGTATGGTATGACGTTCACGATGACGATGATAAAGACGATAACGATGATGATGGAGATGACAATGACGATGACGATGACGAAGTCGATGATGATGATGATGATGAAAGTGATAATATTGTGATAAGGGTTAGAAGTGATGATGATGATGACGATTAGGATGATGATGACACAGACGATGACGATGATGATGACGATGACAATGACGATGACAATAACGATGACAATGACGATATCGATGACGATGATGATGACGATGATAATGACGATGATGATGATGACGATGACGATGGCGATGGCGATGGAGATGATGATGACGATTCTGATGATGATGGAGATGACGATGACGATAACAATGACGGTGGCGATGACAATGACGATGACAATGACGATGGCGATGATGATGACGATGACAATGGCGATAAACATAGTGATCAAAGTGATAATATTGTGATAAGGGTTAGAGGTGTTAGCTTAGCTACTTTATTACTAAACGTTATTTTACCTACTACTAAACTACTACTAAACGTTATTTGTCCTTAGTGTTTTAAGAAAATGTAAAAGTAATTTAGTTAACAGATGGCGGAATTATCGGACAACAGCTGAAAACACTGCAGCCGATAATTTCGCTCCTAGAGAGGGAGGAGTTATGCAACCTCTGGACCATAGGGTTGTTACGGTTTGTACCTAGAGGGGGCTGTATAAGCATTAGACTGTACCTATCGTTATTATCATTAGTGTTTTAAGAAAATGTAAATACGTGTGGCACTCGGTGACTGCCGCGGTAAAGCTATTGCATAGCATTTTTATCAACTTATGCAATTATAATTATTTATTTATTTTATTTATGCAGTTAAGTCTTTGATATTAAATCAAGTTACACTTTTTGAGAGTGGTGACCGATAAGAAAACAATTTTTTTTCTCTTAGTGAATAAATGAGAAGTTAATATTGTTTAAAATATTTTTAATATCTTACAATACATGTAGGTTATTCAGGAATTTTTATCATTCATTTAGCAGCTAGTGTACACGCATACGTCTAGTCGCATGCACACAACCACCGTGCCGAACTGTGCCGAGTGCCGAAGTCTGCCGAACTAAAACGACGTTAGACGATGCACGGCTTTCAACGTCTTTGCCCGTCGATGTGGGGAGCGTGAGGTTTTTTTCGTTACGGAATTTCTGGATTCGGTCCCCGCGCTCAAGGCCCGCGATAGAAGCTATGCAATAGCTTAAAAAGTAATTTAGTTAACAGATGGCGGAATCATCGGACAACAGCTGAAAACACTGCAGCCGATAATTACGCTCTTAGAGAGGGAAGAGTTATGCAACTACAAGATCATATTATGGTTGTTACGATTTATACCTAAAGGGGGCTGCATAAACATTAGACAGTATCCAGTGACTATAGAATCAGCGCTTTTGGTTACATGAGGTATCAAGACGAGCTCGTGGGTGCGGCCAATTCGTTTTGACATAGACTTCAAGACGTATTAAGTAGTATAATTATAACTGTAATTAGAAATAAAATAGAGACGGTGACGATGACAATGATGATAACGATGACGATGATGATGACGATGATGGTGATGAAGATGATGACGATGACGATGACGTTGGCGATGGCGATGATGATGACTTTGACGATGACGATGACAACGACGATGACAATGACGATGGCGATGACAATGAGCATGACGATGACGATGGCGATGGCGATGACGATGGCGATGGCGATGATGATGACTTTGACGATGATGATGATGATGATGATGACGATGACAATAACGATGACAATGATGATGGCGATGACTATGACGATGACGATGGCGATGATGATGACAATAACCATCACGATGACGATGATGATGACGATGAACATAGTGATCAAAGTAATAATATTGTGATAAGGGTTGGAGGTGTTAGCATAGCTACTTTATTATTGTACGTTATTTTACCTAGTGTTGTTGTCCTTAGTGTTTTAAGAAAATGTAAAAGTAATTTAGTTAAGAGAACGTATTAATTATGTAGTATAATTATAATTGGAATTAGAAATAAAATAGATTTTAAATTACTCACAGACTCTTTTAATGACACAATTAACTAGTTGCCTTCAAAAATATCCTTTTCAAAATTTCTTCCATAGAAGTAGCAGGTATCAAGTTTCGATGTTATACAAATTTCGCGCCTCTTTTCAAAAATCTCGTGACGTTCACGATGACGATGACGAAGACGATAACGATGATAATGGCGATAGCAATGACGTTGACGATGGCGATAATGACGACGATGATTATGATGACGATGATGATGATGACAATGACGATAATGATGGTAACGACGAAGATGACGAGGACGATGACGATGACGATGACGATGGTGATGACGATTACGATTACTATGATGACGATGATGATGGTGATAACAATGATGACTATGATGATGACGATGACGATGATGATGATGATGATTATGACGATGACCATGACAATGACAATGACGATGACGATGACAATTATGATGACGATGATGATGACGATGTTGATGATGATGATGACGATGATGACGGACATGACGATGACGATGATGATAACGATGATGATGATGATGACGATGACGATGGTGATAATGATGACGATGATTAAGATGACGATAATGATGATGACAATGACGATGATGATGGTAACGACGAATATGACGAGGACGATGACGATGACGATGATGATGGTGATGACGATTACGATTACTATGATGACGATGATGATGGTGATAACAATGATGACGATGATGATGACGATGACGATGATGATGATGATGATTATGACGATGACAATGATAATGACAATGACGAAGACGATGACGATGACAATTATGATTACGATGATGATGACGATGTTGATGATGATGATGACGATGACGATGACGATGACAATGACGATTATGATGGTGATAACGATGACGACGATGACGATGATGATGACGACGATGATGGTGATATGATGATGATGATGATGACGATAAGAATGACGATAACGATGACGATGAAAATTTATGACATTATGATGATGATGATGATGACGATGACAACGATAACGACGATCAGAATGACGATGAGGATGACGACGACTATGACGATGATGATGACAACATGATGATGATGATGATGATGATGATGACGATGACGATTATGATGATGACGATGACGATGACGATGATGATTGCGATGACGATGGCGATGACGATTACGATTACGATGATGACGATGATAACGATGACGATGACAATTATGATGATGATGATGATGACGATGATAACGATAATGACGATCAGGATGACGATGAGGATGACGATGCCGATGACGATGACGATGACAATGACTATGGCGATGACGATGACGATGATGATGACGACGACGATGACGATGACGATGACGATGATGATGGTGATGACGACGTTGATGATGACGACGATGATGATGATGATTATGACGATGATTATGACGATGATGGTGATATGATGATGACGACGACGATGTCGGTAATGATCACGATGACGATGACGATGATGATGAAGATGACGGTGATGATTATGATAACGATTATGATGATGATGGTGATGATGACGATGACAATGATAATGACGATGACGATGACGATTTCGGTGATGATGACGATGACTATGATGATGACGATGTCGATGATGATAACTATGACGATGATGATGACGATGACGATGATGATGACGATGACGACGACGATAATGATCACGATGACGATTATGATGATGATGGTGATGATCGATTTGTTTCACACCATTTTACAAGTCTATCAAGATTCTCTTGTAGTTCTAATACGTCAGATTCTTGCTTTATAACTTTAGCTATTTTTAAATCGTCTGCGAACAAATAATCCTGACAATTTTTACACTACTATATCATTAATGAATAGTACAAAAAATAAAGGCCCTACATTTGATCCCTGTGAAACACCAGAAATAGCATTGTAAGAATCTGAACACTCGCCATCAATTACTACTCTGGCATTACGATTAAAGATATAGGATTTGCACCAGCTTAAAAATGTATCGGAAATGCCAAAACATGCGAGTTTTTTAACAAGTATAGTATGGTCCACCTTATCAAATGCCTTGGAAAAATCAGTATATATAACATCTACTTGAAGGTTTTTGTCCACCGAATCAATAAGATTGGAAACATAATTGAGCAAATTAGTATTAGTAGACTTCTTAGGCATAAAACCATGTTGGCAGGGATATAAGCGATCTTTAACATGATTGAATATGAATGGGTGAACAAGTGATTCAAAAATCTTTGATACAGTAGAGAGGATTGATATAGGTCGATAATTAGATACAAGTTCTTTTTTCCATCTTTGTAAATAGGTACTATTCTTGCTTCTTTCCACCTATCGGGAAAACTCCCTGTCTTAAGTGAAATGTTATAAATTAGTTGTAAGGGGTAGGATATTGAATTTGCACATTTAATTAAGAATATAAGGGCACATTGTCAGGTCCAGCATTCTGTTTTATATCAAGTGTTTTTATTTAGTTTATTATGCTTTTTTGGGATATGTATATATTGGACATTTCAGGAAGCTGTTGCTGCGAGTCGAGCAAATATAGTGAGTTATTGTTGTTATCTGTTGGGGTGTTACAGACACTGGAAAAATGCGCTGCAAATAAGTTACAGGATTCTTTTAGTTCGTTTGATTGTTTGTCTCCTAAATACATAGATGGTGGGACTGTTTAGAAAATTAATTATTCTTTATGCTAACCTTAACTTTTATTTATGTTACAAAAACTATTAGCTTCCTTTTGTTCGTAAAACTTATTTTTATTCCAACTACCATTAAAATAGACATCCATACTAATATTATAAACGCGAAAGTGTGTTTGTTTGTTTGTTTGTCCTTCTTTCACGTCGTAACAGAGCGTCGGCATGGCATGAATTTTGGTATGGGGATAGTTCGGTGGCTGTAGAGTGACATAGGCTACTTTTTTTCCGCGGAAAAACATCTCATTCCCGTTCCCGTGAGAAATATTATATTTTCCCACGGGAATGAGATGTTTTCTCGCGGAAAAAAGTAGCCTATGTCACTCTACAGCCTCATTCCCGTTGGAAAATAGAATATGTTGCAAAAGTTTGTCCCTCTTTCACGTCGTAATAGAGCGTCGGCATGGCATGAATTTTAGTATGAAGATAGTTCGGTAGCTGTAAAGTGACATAGGCTACTTTTTTCCGCGGAAAAACATCTCATTCCCGTGGGAAAATCGAATATGTTGCACAAGTTTGTCCTTCTTTCACGTCGCAACAGAGCGTCGGCATGGCACGATTTTGAATGAAAAATATTTTTGGGAGTTCTTATTAACTAACGTATACATATTTTAAATTGATTCCGCTAGATGTCGTTACTAGGTTTTTAAAACGCGGTAACAAAATGTTTCCTGACATGTACTTAACTCCCGCCGTTGAACCGCGCGTCAACTTACATATAGTGCATACGGTACCTATACGCTTAAATTGTTTCTATTTCGTAGCTTATTCGACTACATGCTTTCGATTTTCGGTTGTTTGTTATTTGCTTTGTGATTTGGTTAAGGTTGAATGGATTTATATTGGCTTTCATTTTCTGATTTGTGTATTTTCTTGGATCGGTTTTGTTGATTTGGTTGGTATTCCTTTATACATATTTAGACTCTGGCTTTTATTTTGGATTTTTTTTATTTAGAATCGTGAATTGGTTTTCGTTGTTTTAGGTTGTTTAACAATATTTAATTCCTTTTAGGTATTTTAACGTTTTTTTATAAATAGGTTTTTTGTGTCTTCATATTGCCTCGCAAACGTACGTCCAGCCTTTCAAGAGTATCTTCTCAAAGACAAACGAAAAGATTAGCTTGATCGCTAGAATCTTTAGAAGATGCTGAACTGAGAAGGCAAGAACAAGCAAAGCGTCAGGCTGCTTTTAGAGCATTTGAGACACCTTCTCAACGTCAGCAAAGGCGTCTTGAACAGACAGAGCGTCAAGCTACTTTAAGAGCTACTGAAACACCTGCTCAAAGTCAGCAAAGGCGTCTTGAACAGGCAGAGCGTCAAGCTACTTTAAGAGCTACTGAAACACCTGCTCAAAGTCAGCAAAGGCTATTCGAACAAGCGGAACTTCAGGCCGCCTTGATAACCGCGGAAACACCTGATGAAACTCAACACAGACTCATTGAGCAAGCTGAACGTCAATCTACTATAAGGGCATCTGAAACACCAGAACAGACACAGGCGCGAAGAGATGCAAATGCACAGCTCCAAGTTGAACGTCGACAAAATTTTCAAAGAAACAATTGGTCGGTTTTTAATGACGCAGCATTCAATTATGATCCGTTGATTGATTACAAAAATCACAGGTTAGTTGTTATCGGACTGATGGACAAGGCGTGTCGATTTTGCAGCGCTTTAAAATGAAAAGATGAGACCGCAGGCATGTGCTGTTCCAATGACAAAGTGTCTCTTCCGTTACTTGGGGAACCAGAAGAACCTTTGAAAACTCTCTTTTTATATGATGCTAATGAGTCACGGCGCTTTTTAAACAGGATCTGGAAATATAACTCATGCTTTCAAATGACGTCCTTCGGAGTTGACCGGGAAATAATAATGCCGGGATTTTCGCCTACATTTACGGTGCAAGGGCAAATTTATCATAAAATAAGTTCACTTTTTCGAGCTGAAAACGAACAGCATAAATTTTTACAAGTATATTTTATTGGTGACGAAGAAATTGAGGTAGACCGTCGCTGCCAATTTATCCAGGGAGTTGAGAGAGACAAAGTGTTCAAAATTTAAATATTCTTGCATGAACGTAACATTCTAGTCAAAACATTTAAAACTGCTTTATAAAACCTACCTGAAGTGGATTATAAAGTCATCATTCACGCAGATCGGACCCCTCGAGGAGAGCATGAAAGGCGCTACAATGCACCTTTGATAAACGGAATAGCAGCCGTAATTAGTGGTGATCAATTTTCTTCACGAGACATTGTCTTGCGAGCTCGTGATGATACGTTGCAACGGGTAGCCGATACACTCAAGTTTTATGACGCTCTGCAGTACCCATTAATTTATTGCAAAGGACAAGAGGGTTATCATTTTCGAATTCCACTCATTAACCCAGTCACAAAGGAGCCTACTCTGAACAAAAAAGTATCGTGTATGGATTTTTATGTGTATCATATGATGTTGCGAGAAAATGATTTTAACCTCTTAGCCCGATTTAGGCAATTATTTCATCAATTTTTGTATGTGAAGGTAGAAAGTGAACGTCTCCGTTATACGAGTATATCTTTAAATCAAAAAAAGCTGCATGTTGAGAATTATATACCTTTACAAGATCCAGTTTCTAGCGACGCCAATGTAAACCCCAGAGATTTAGGTAAAATGGTAATTCTACCCTCGTCATTCGTTAACAGTCCCCGCTACCTACATGAGTACACACAAGACGCATTCGCCTATGTACGAACTTACGGAAGACCTGATCTTTTTGTTACTTTTGCTTGTAAACCCACATGGATAGAAATAACCGAGGAGCTAATTCCGGGCCAAAAAAGTACTGACAGACACGATTTAGTTGCTAGAGTATTT